AGGATGAATGTACTTCAGTGGCCAGTGCCCCTGCTAATGAAGGTAAGCGCATTCTTGTGGTTGGTGACTCTCAGGTAAGATATATTGACCGTGCTTTTTGTAATAGGAATAAGAAGATGAGAGATAGAGTGTGCTTCCCTGGAGCTGGTGTTGGGGACATTGTCAACAGGCTGGATAATATCATGTCAGGTAATGGGAACAAGCCCATTATCTGTCTCAGTGCTGGTGGAAATGATATTGGGAAGGGTAGGAGAGAAGAGCTGCTAGATAAGTACAGGTCAGCTATAGATTTCATTAAGTCTAAGGGAGGGATCCCAATCATATGTAGCATCTTGCCTAGAAGGGGAGTAGGAAATGAATGGTTGTCTAGGGCAATTGGTGTAAATTGCTGGCTAGACAGATACTGCAAGGAACTTGCAATCCCATTCATTGACAACTGGAACAACTTTTATGGCAAACATGATATGTATGCAAGGGATGGGGTACATCTCTCTGGGTCAGGGGTGGTAGCACTTGCAGACTCGATTGAGAAGGCCATTGGTGAAATGCCTATGATTTTAAACTGATGGAAGATAGAGGTATGGGTGTGTGTGGGAAACAAGCAGGTTGCAACCCTAGGGTTGGAAACAGTAAATGTATAAAAGGCATTCAGCATGAAGTTATAAATAAAGATAATAGAACAGGTCAGCAAACAAAGGGGGACAGCAGAGGGCAGCAAGGGACTAGCTCCCTTAAGGTTTACTATACTAATAGCAGGAGTGTTAGAAATAAGATAGATGAGCTAAGATTAATTGCAAGTGCAGGAAATATAGATATTATTGCTATAACAGAGACCTGGCTCAATCTGAAAGATAGAGAGATGCCCTCTGAATGTCACATACAAGGCTATAAATTATTCCACACTGACAGGGTCAACAGGAAAGGTGGTGGAGTAGCGATGTATGTCAGAGACAATTTAAATTGTTGTGTTTAGACAAGATATTAAATTAGAAGCGTCAGCCACTGAATCTGTTTGGTTACAGCTTCTCGAGGGCCGAGAAAAACTAATTTTGGGTGTGATTTACAGGGCCCCAAATCTTGATAGGGAGTGCAGTAAACTTCTATGGGACGAAATTCGTAAGGCATCTACATACGAAAATGTTGTGCTAATGGGAGATTTCAACTATAGACAGATTGACTGGAGCAATTTGACAGGAAATTTAGAGTCGGGTGACTTTCTTGATACGATCCAGGATTGTTTTTTAAAACAGTTTGTGACAGAGCCAACTAGGGGAAATAACCTCCTTGACTTGGTTCTTGCCAGTAGGGAAACACTAATTAATAATCTTGAGGTTAATGATGAGCTTGGGAGAGTGATCACAAATCACTCAGTTTTAATATATCATGGAATTCCCCTAATAATGGCAATCAAGTCTCCGTCCCTGACTTTCGCTTGGCTGATTTCATAGGACTGAAAAATTACTTAGGTGGCTGAACTGGAATGACCTGACTAAGGGTCAGGTAGGTGGTGATGGTTGCCGATATGATGCTTTCCAGGGCATAGTTCTAGCTGCTCAGTCAAATTATGTTCCAAATAGGGAAATCAGATCAAACAAAAATGATCCTAAATGGATGAACAATAGATTAAAATATCTGATTGGTCAAAAGAGAGGCATATATAGGCAAATCAAAAGAGGAGAGGGGCAATTAAGAAATCGATATATTCAGTTAAAGAGAGAAATAAAAAAGGGAATTAGAAAAGCAAAAAGAGATTATGAGGTTAAAGTTGCAAAAGAATCGAAGACTAACCCAAAAGGATTCTTTCAGGTATACAGAAGTAAGATCAGGGACAAGATAGGCCCACTCAAAAGTTCCTCGGTCAGCTCACTGACAGTGATAAGGAAATGTGTAGAATTTTTAACACATACTTCCTCTCAGTTTTTACACAGGAGGATACCAGCGATATTCCAGTAATGATAAATTATGTAGAACAGGACGATAATAAACTGTGCACTATTAGGGTCACAAGTGACATGGTCCTTAGGCAAATAGATAAATTAAAACCTAACAAATCCCCAGGCCCTGATGAACTGTATGCAAGGGTTCTAAAGGAATGTAAAGAGGAGCTTAGCACACCTTTGGCTAATCTTTTCAACATATCACTACAAACTGGCATGGTGCCAGATAAGTGGAAAATGGCAAATGTGATACCTATTTTCAAAACAGGTGACAGGTCCTTAGCTTCGAACTATAGACCAATAAGCCTAACCTCCATAGTGGGAAAATTTATGGAATCAATAATTGCCGAGGCAGTTCGTAGCCATCTTGAAAAGCATAAATTAATCAACGAATCTCAGCATGGTTTTACAAAGGGGCGTTCCTGCCTTACGAATTTATTAACTTTTTTCACTAAGGTATTTGAGGAGGTAGATCATGGTAATGAATATGATATTGTGTATATGGACTTCAGTAAGGCTTTTGACAGGGTCCCACATCAGAGACTATTGAGGAAAATTAAAGCACATGGAATAGGAGGAGAAATTTTTTCCTGGATAGAGGCATGGTTGACAAATAGGCAGCAGAGAGTTTGCATAAATGGGGAGAAATCAGAGTGGGGAAGCGTCACGAGCGGTGTTCCACAGGGTCAGTGTTGGGCCCCCTGCTGTTCACAATCTACATAAACGACATAGATGAGGGCATAAAGAGCGACATCGGCAAGTTTGCCGATGACACCAAAATAGGCCGTCGAATTCATTCTGACGAGGACATTCGAGCACTCCAGGAAGATTTGAATAGACTGATGCAGTGGTCGGAGAAGTGGCAGATGCAGTTTAATATAGACAAATGCAAAGTTCTAAATGTTGGACAGGACAATAACCATGCCACATATAAACTAAATAATGTAGATCTTAATATTACGGATTGCGAAAAAGATTTAGGAGTTCTGGTTAGCAGTAATCTGAAACCAAGACAACAGTGCATAAGTGTTCGCAATAAAGCTAATAGAATCCTTGGCTTCATATCAAGAAGCATAAATAATAGGAGTCCTCAGGTTGTTCTTCAACTCTATACATCCTTGGTTAGGCCTCATTTAGATTATGCTGCACAGTTTTGGTCACCGTATTACAGAATGGATATAAATTCTCTGGAAAATGTACAAAGGAGGATGACAAAGATGATCCCATGTATCAGAAACCTTCCCTATGAGGATAGACTAAGGGCCCTGAAACTGCACTCTCTAGAAAGACGTAGAATTAGGGGGATATGATTGAGGTGTATAAATGGAAGACAGGAATAAATAAAGGGGATGTAAATAGTGTGCTGAAAATATCTAGCCTAGACAGGACTCGCAGCAATGGTTTTAAGTTGGAAAAATTCAGATTCAGGAAGGATATAGGAAAGTACTGGTTTGGTAATAGAGTTGTGGATGAGTGGAACAAACTCCCAAGTACCGTTATAGAGGCCAGAACGTTGTGTAGCTTTAAAAATAGGTTGGATAAATACATGAGTAGATGTGGGTGGGTGTGAGTTAGACCTGATAGCTTGTGCTAACAGGTAGGTTGCCGTGTTCCTCCCTTAAGTCAATGTGACCTGACCTGACTAGGTTGGGTGCATTGGCTTAAGCCGGTAGGAGACTTGGACCTGCCTCGCATGGGCCAGTAGGCCTTCTGCAGTGTTCCTTCGTTCTTATGTTCTTATGTTCTTATTGTAGGCCAATTACATTGTTCCAGTCAACCAAATTCTTAGCTATTTCATTAGTATGCCATCTGTTTTATCAGTTGTGCCCAAGAAACTGTCTAGTGAACTATTTCAGCTACCCAGTAAAGTGATCAGAAATTGGTAATTTGGCCAATTTCACACAAATTTCAAAATATTCCAATTTCAAAATAGTCCAGAATAAACAATGCAGGCATTCCTGGCACTAAAATAACATTTCCTCTGTTCATTAGTTACGTTTTCAGGCTTTACAAATGAATTCCATTTTTATTTTTTATTCACACAATGAATTTTTATTCACACTAAAAAATACAAGATTTAACGTAATGCAATATAGTAATAATTGTATAAATAATATCACTGCATTCATGAACGCATATTAGACCCACCAGTTAACGTGTATTGGACATGTGATGTGATTTATTTACTTTTGAAAATTGGCAAAAATTGAACATTTCTACTACCTTGAGCTTAATAACTGCAAGGTATTTCCCATCCTAAAACCAATCAGAATCATCTCTATTTCTGTAATGTAATATATCTTCCATTCTATCAAATGAGTCCAAGAAACTGAATACACCCATTAAAACCATGTGAAAATACACCACAAAGTCGCTGTTTTCAACCAAAAACATGGTCCGTTTTTTTTCTTGGTATGTACTGAGAAGCTAAAATATAATTGCATTTTAAAGGTTCATTATTAATGACTTGTGGCCACATTTTCCTGGCGAGTCTGATCAACCAGACTATTGTTCCCTACAGCTTGTGGTTGACAAAGTTTTTATGACGTATTGTGAATTAACTGTTATATGCTAAGTCTGTGTAATTCATATGACCAGTCTTGTGAGAAGTAGAGCATCAGATGTAATTTTATTTTATCTAGCCAAATGTTACTTCTACATTATAACTTTCATGCCAATGGATTTTCATATTGTTGGAATACCTAAACTTACATTTACTTTTCAGTAAAAGTTAAATGTCGTACTTTTTGATGCAGTAATAACAAGGATATTTTTAGTTTTACACAGTATAACAGTAAAGAAATATTTGCAAAACCAAGGATTGTTGCAGGCCAGTATATCATAGTTTTTTTTTTTTCAGTACTCGCATGACATTAACAAAATGAAATATAGGTACTTTGCTTTAACTTTGCTAGTAACAGTTACAAGCCATAATTTTGTAGGCAGGGAAATGTCATCCTCTGTGTTTCTACCAGTTGCATTATTTCAAGGCTACACTGTAGTCTTGTAATAATGTATGTAATTGATGAAATTTTTTTCCTCAGTTGAATTATTTTCTTCCAGCTTCTAGAACCATCACTGCCACAGCTAGTCGAGTGTTTAAGCATAAGCGGTACCTCTATGGCCACCTTACAGATATTTGTGGAATTGTGTGCTTGGCGACCTCACCCATTCTCTGAACATGTTACCAGACTAAAGAGTATTATAGAGCAGCAGCCTCATTGTCTTGCCCTAGCCTTACAGGTTAGTATATTTAGTTTAAGAAGTATATTTGTTATGCTTACTCTCTCTTTGTTATATAAATGCTTCAAAAGAGTTAATCAAATCAGGATCATACGTATATTTTTCGTCTCAATTATTCAAATTGAGAGTTGTGCCTTGGTTATAAGCACCTTGTTGCTGTGATCTCCTTGCTACTTGACAGTACTATCCCACTAGTCATCTTGATTAACTCTTAGTACTGTATGTAATCTCTAAATCACTTTCAGGTGATGGCTGCTGTAGGTAGAATTAGCAAGGAGAAAGGCAAGAGTTCCTTGGACTACATTGCTCAGCAACTTCCTAAGGTTGACTCCAATAGCTTAGGTGTTGGTAAGTGAAATAAAACACAGCAGTAGATTGCATTTCATGTGTAATACAATATAAATTATATTCTTACGAAGCATGTAAGCAAGTATTCTTTTTCAGAGAAAAGTCAAGGTTTCTTTGACATGTCTATCATAATTTTGCTCTGGGGAAAGGTGGTGATGGTGGTTTATTAGGTGACAAAAATTTGTCCTTATGTGGGTCTTGGTGAAATGATGGCCCATTTAATGAGTGAGCAACTGCTGATGTGCTGGTGCTGGCTATTGATGGTTAAGCAATCACAAGCATACTGGTAGAGCATTTGGTGACATACTGGAGCTGAATTTTCACCCCACTAAAAAAAAATGCTTTGTCTCGTGCTATTTTGAGCTGTAAGTATTTCTTAACTTGCAAATTCCAAATTAGTTTATAATTTTTTTTCTTTCAGTTTTGCGTGAGGTGCAAGTGTTGTGTAGTCAGTACCCAGCTCTTCTAGTGGAGTCAGAGTCCCTACTGACTGCTGTTAATAAGTGCACTGACCGCTCCAACACTTCTGCCCGAGTTTACATTCAGCAACTTAATAATGAGTACAATGAAATAAGGTAGAGAAAAATTGGTGCATGTTCTGCAATAATGATTCTTCAACATTATAGAAGGGTGCATGCTATCAATTGATTGATTCCATAGTATGAAGAATTCTAGGATTATACTTTAGTATGCAAGGAAAGTTTGGACTTAATTATGATGAGATGCTTGCATTGTGGTAGACTAATTGGCAGTCTATCAGAGAAGCAGTGGGTCACATCCAGGTATTTTTAGTGTAAAATAATTATATACATTGGCTAAGACAGATAACCTTGATGTATTTATATCATAACTACTATTTTTATTCAATGTTCTAAGAATGTCTAGCCAGTAATGCATAGATTCAGTTAGAATGTAATCAGATGTGGAGATCTGAAGTGGTTTCTCTTTAAATAATATTTTCTTTGTAAATTAAGTTTTATCCTCTTGCAGAAACACCAATGTGAACCACACTCCAGGTGGGGTTACCATTGTTCGTGTGGGAGGGGGTGGGGGCAGAACAGATGCTGTAGTTGGTTCAAGTCGTACAGATCTCAGCCTTGCTACACGTGACCTGAGTATATTCCAGCCTCACTCGTCAAGTGCTGCTGGTATTGGAAAATTTGGCCATAAATATCAAAAGCACAGTGATACATCAAGAAGTACAGGACGGTTGGTCACAGCCTCCAATAGATCAATGCCAAGGTTAAATGCTTGTAAGTAATGCTTCATAATTGTTTTATTTCCTTATACGATGCATTCACAATATAGTAGACATTCATTTATTTCTTGTAGATAGTTTCTAACATTTGGCTCTCTTTCCCAGTATGACCTAGTATCAGCTAGCAAACTTTTTGTTCACATTGGTAAAATTTGAATTCAAAGGAAACAAATTTGAAGGATGGATATCAACTATGCTAAATATGTGCATTCCAAAGTTGAAAGTAATAACATGCTTGGATTACATATAAGTCATACTGTAATACAGAATAATATATTCGTATGAAGCATGTAAGCTGTTGGAGTGACATCTAAACTGTCATATGTGGGCACCTCTGCAAAGACAGTGATTATGTTTGAATGATGGTGAAAGTTTTTTTTTTTTTTTTTGGGGGGGGGGACATACATACAGTAGAGATCATCAGTGGCTGCCCAATTATTTAATATAAGTTTATATCATGAAGTAGCTTGAGCAGATAGCTTTATTTTATACACTCTACCATAAAATGTTTAGCCAAACATGTGCATTGATTCAGTTTAACCGTAAGATTCTACAGATATAAACATTCTGCTTCATTTGCACATTACTGCAAATTTTATTTGCCCCTAAAGAAGGTAAAGATGAAAATGAAAGAGATGGCAGGGCTCTTGTGATATTGTCAATGAATCTCTAATCTTGTAAAGTAGGCAGAATTTACTGAATGTTATCAGTACCAGGCTCAAATATTGTTTCTTTAATATTATTACTTACAATGAATGTAAAGCATTTTGTTTGTTTAAAATGATTCCTCTTTTTTATCATTGGAATTACAGTTGGATTACATTGTGCTTAGAATTCATTTTTTTTAGCCTTAATTATTTAAATAGTGTTGTAAGTCATGTTGTGTGCAGTGGTTATTAAATACATTTTTTTTTTGTTTTGTTTTTGTGTAAATTGCCTCCAGTTAAATAGTATATACAGTTTTACAGTATATACATCTTTCTTTCAACACACCGGCCGTATCCCACCGAGGCAGGGTGGCCCAAAAGGAAAAACGAAAGTTTCTCCTTTTACATTTAGTAATATATACAGGAGAAGGGGTTACTAGCCCCTTGCTCCCGGCATTTTAGTTGCCTCTTACAACACGCATGGCTTACAGAGGAAGAATTCTGTTCCACTTTCCCATGGAGGTAAGAGGAAATAAACAAGAATAAGAACTAGAAAGAAAATAGAAGAAACCCCAAAGGGGTGTGTATATATATGCTTGTAAATGTATGTGTACAGTACAGTATGTGTAAGTAGAAGTAGCAAGATGTACCTGAAATCTTGCACGTGTATGAGACAGAAAAAAAAAAAGACACCAGCAATCCTACCATCATGTAAAACAAGTACAGGCTTCAGTTTTACACTCGCTTGGCAGGACAGTAGTACCTCCCTGGGCGGTTGCTGTCTACCAACCTACTACCTAGGAGTATATACATCTATGTACTATATACAACTCGGCAATCATAAATGCACTTAGACTTTTGAACATCCTCTCTTCGTTCATAAAGGGGAATTACCAACAAACCTCCAGCTGCCTTCAAGAAGTTCCTTAACCCTTTGACTGTTTTGGTTGTATATATACGTCTTGCGAGCCAGTGTTTCGGACTTATTATTACGCATAGATTCTAGTGGCTTGAAATCGAGCAGGAGAAAGCTGGTAGGCCCACATGTGAGAGAATGGGTCTGTGTGGTCAGTGTGCACCACATAAAAAAAAAATCCTGCAGTGTGTAATGAGAAAAAAAACTGACCGTTTTTTTGGATTAAAACGCCAACTTTGAGGTGTATTTTCGTATAGTATTTATTGTTGTATTCTCGTTTTCATAGTCTCGTGTGCTCAAATGGAAAACATATTACAGAAATAGATGATTTTGATTAGTTTCACGATTCACAATGAAAACAACCTTGAAATTGAGCTCAAAGTAGCGGAAATGTTCGATTTTTACCAATGTTCAGGAGTAAGCAAATCACACCACACGTCCAATACACATCAACTGGGGAGTCTAAATTTCTTTCATTAGTGCACTGATATTTATACCATTTTTACAATAATGCAGTAGTCTGCATAACAGTAAATTTTGTATTTTTTGTATGAATAAAAAATCAAAATAGAAAGCAATAGTAATATAAGAGTGACCTAGAGACGTGACTAATGAACAGAGGATATGTTATTTTAGTATCAAGAACATCTACATTGTTTTTTCTGGACCCTATTTTGAAATTGGCATCTTTTTTAATTTGTGTGAAATTGGCCAAATTGCCATTTTCTGACCACTTTATTGGGTAGTTCAAGTCGGTAAATGGGCGGTTTCTTGTATTCAATTGATAGAAAAAATGGAGTTCTAAAGAAATAGTTATGAGTTTGGTCAACTGGAACAACGAAATTGGCCAAAAACAGGGCTCAAAGTCGGCGAAATCGCCAATGCTTATATGTCGCCGAGACCGCTAACTTCGCAGGAGCATAATTCGTACTTTTGTTGTCATTACCATCGGGAAAAGATTCTCTATCATTTCATAAGAAATTTTTTTTTTTTTTTTTTCCAAAAATTTTGCGGCATAGAATGACAGTTTCAGAAAGGGGCTTGCAACAGTCAAAGGGTTAAATCAGTTCCTGATCAGCCGGGCTGTAGTGCACACATTGAACTGTGTGGCTAGCACCATGTATAGCTCAGGAAATGGTGGATGCTTAATGGTCTGTCCACTTTTTGAGACAGAAACACTGTTCTTGTAATTAAAACTGTTTGTTTTAATTGCAGTGCCTCAAAGTACTGGTCGTCTTGGGTCATCCTCAATTCAGTTGAACAAATCCATGACACGTCTTAGTTCCTCTCATGGTATGCACATGAATCGCTCCATCACTGTTCTGGCTCCTCCGTCACGTCACTTTTCGGGTCACCTTGGACCAAGTACAGGTCACTTGGGTCATGGCTCAGTTGCTGGCCATCACCTAAGTGGCTCTCAAGTTTGTGGCTCTCAGATTGGAGTGTCACGATTGGTATCTAGTCCTCCTCCACCTCATTGTGTTCCCCTCTCTGCTATATCACCACTTCCAGGTAAGTACAGCACATTTTGAAAGTTGAAATATTTATAGTTTTAACATTTATCTTTTTTGTTCTTGTCTGTTTTTTCAGTAGCTGATTAGTGGCCTAATTTTTCCCTGAAAAATTTGAATAATTAGAAGACATGACTATTTTTCCATCAATGATGATTTAAATATAATGCTATCACATTGCTGCACCATTTGATGATCTCTTACCTTTTCTTAAATTTCATTTTGTTTTTTCTGTAACTGAAGATTTCTTATTCCATTTTTTGATTTCCTTTCCTTTTTGTATTTTGCTGTCTTGAAAATGCTTATTTTTATTTATATATGTTGATGAAGGGATACTGATACTTGGCACACTTTCTTGTGTCTTATTCTTTTTGACCAGTTAATATAATACATTTTTGCATATAAATTTTGGAACTAATTGGTATGTCATTTATTTTCATACTTAAAATTAGTAGTTGCCAAAGAAAATAAAAATTCAACAGTTAACTCATTATTTATTAGATAAATTGCTTCAAAATGTATCTGAATTGTTTATAGATGTATCAGAGGCAGTGATGGGTAATGTTGCCAGTGAATGTTAAATTGATTAAATTTGTGGACATTATTATTCAGGCACAGTGAGTCCAACCAAGAGTATGAGCTCTTCATTAGCAACACTACGTGAGGGTGCTGGAGAACTGGGTGCATCTTCGAGTATTCTGGGAGGACCCCACCAGTCCCAAGCAACTCTCTTACCTCCAGATCTGCCTCATACTACTACAGTAACTTCTACAGGACATCATACTTTGTCACTACCACTTCATTTGTCATCTCGAGAACTTGGTTAGCAGTTGTGAAAGCACAGTATTTTCAATCTGTCTATTTGTGTGTTTGTATTTTCCACTTATCTCTTTTAATACCTGATTTTCCCATTCATTCCAGGGACTTCCATTGAAGTTACCAGATTTTATATCCCTTAAATATTCTGCCATTGACTCTCCACATTACTGAAGGGTGAAACTTGTAAATGTATGACAGGCTAGACATTTATGGCCATGTGTGACACTTGGTGTATATGTGCAGGCTCTGATATTATTGAGCGATAACAGTGGTGTTTTGCTAGATGCTCCCCTCAAGGAAGGTTCCTTGATGTTGGTGAGGGGCTCTTGATTTAGGGAATTGGATCTGTGCTCCAGTTCCCCGAATTAAGCCTGAATGCCTTCCACATCCCCCCCGGGCGCTATATAATCCTCCGGGTTTAACGCTTCCCCCTTGATTATAATAATAATAATTTGCTAGATGCAACTGTGAAAGAGTGATGTCATGAATAGTTATACTTTTGGTGGAAACTGATAGTTTTAAGAAACTAGCTAAAAATCCAGCATTATTGGGAAAGGGGAAGTTGCTACTCAAGGAAAGCACGTACATTCACGTGCATTTGTATAAGTGTTCACAGTAAAGTGAACAAAATTCTTGGCTTCATATCAAGAAGTATAAATAACAGGAGTCTTCAGGTTATTCTTCAACTCTGTATATCGTTGGTTAGGCCTCATTTAGATTATCCTGCATATTTATATCCATTCTGTATTACAGAATGGATATAAATGTCCTGGAAAATATATAAAGAATGACAAAGTTGATCCCATGTATCAGAAATCTTTCCTATGAGGATAGACTGAGGGCCCTGAATCTGCACTTTGTAGAAAGACATAGAATTAAGGATATGATTGAAGTGTATAAATGGAAAACAGGAATAATAAATGGGATGCACATAATGTGCAAAAAATATATTGACCAAGACAGGACTCGCAGCAATGGATTCAAGTTGGAAAAATTTAGATTTAGAAAGGATATAGGAAAGCACTGGTTTTGTAATAGTTGTGGATGAGTGGAACAAATAACTAATGCCATTGAAGCCAAAATGCTGTCTAGTTTTAAAAATAAGTTAGACAAATACATGAGTGGGTGTGAGGTAGATCTGACCAGCTTGGACCAGTAGGCATACTGCAATGCTCCTTCCTTCTTGAGTGGGTGTAACTTGGACATGCCAATCATTGGCCAGTAGGCCTGTTGCAGTGCTCCTATCTTATGTTCTTTTGTTATTTACAGGCCACATAGAACAAGTAAATCGTTTAAATGACTGGGAATATCCGAGTCCTAAATATGTAATCACTGGAGTGGAGGAGAAAGAGAGAGAGGGAGATACAGAGAGGGAGACACAGAGAGAGAGAGAGAGAGAGAGAGAGACAGAGAGAGAGAGAGAGACAGAGAGACAGAGAGAGAGAGACAGAGAGAGACAGAGACAGAGAGAGACAGAGACAGAGAGAGACAGACAGAGAGAGACAGAGACAGAGAGAGACAGAGACAGAGACAGAGAGAGACAGAGACAGAGAGAGACAGACAGAGAGAGACAGAGACAGAGAGAGACAGAGACAGAGAGAGACAGAGACAGAGAGAGACAGAGAGAGAGAGAGACAGAGAGAGAGAGAGACAGAGACAGAGAGAGAGAGAGACAGAGAGAGAGACAGAGAGAGACAGAGAGACAGAAAGAGACAGAAAGAGAGAGAGAGATACACAGACAGACAGGCAGGTACGTACATACGTACGTGGGCACTAATCCACACAGCCTTTGATTGTTAGGACCTACCCCACCTACCCACCTCCCTCCTCTTTCTCTTCTCTCTCTTCCTTTTACCTCTGGTCCCCTTCCCACTCTTTCTCCACCCCTCCATCACTCTCCCTGTCTCTCTCCCCTCCTCTCTTCCCCCTCACAAACACCCAACTACAGCACATAACCCATAAAAAAATTGTGGCTCAGAGGGGAACTCGAAGGCCCAAGGGATCAGAGGAGAATGGGTCTGGAAGGGAAGAATGGATGGAAGAGCAATGCAAAAGGATGGAACAAGAGTGGGAGAGCAAACTCAGAGAGCTTTCTGCAAAAATGGAAAAAAGGATGGAGGCAGAGCTTTCTGTGAAGTTGGAAAAGAGGTTGGAGGAGGAGAAGAAGAATTGGGAGTCGCAAGTTGAAGCTGCAGTAGCCAGGATAAGGGTCACAGAATGAGGTAAATAGTCTGAAGCAAGTTACAAGGTTATTGACCAGAGGAGACATAGCATATGAAGCTGGTACACCCCTACTGAACGAGGGGCCCAGCGGGAATGAAGGAGACATAACTTATGCTGACGCCCTATCAGCCCACCAAGCAGGGCCGAGGAATGAAGGGGGAGCGCAGCTGGGGGCGGGGGATGGGGGTGAAGGTGGAGAGGGGGATAGGTCATATGCAGAGGCACAACCATGCCACTTAGAGCTACAGGAAAAAATAAGGGAGAAAATGGCCATGTACAAACAGGAACCAGAAACACGGGGAAAAGCAGTGGGAGGAGAAGGCGAAGTCAATGTTTATTCATGGGCTTCAGGAGAACGAGGGAAGGACACACAGTGAAAGACTGCAGGCAGAAAGGCGGGATTGAGAACATCAAAGAAATAGGTGAAGCGGACATGTCTGAGATTGTAATTTTTTTGAGAACAGGGGGGTACTTGAAGGGAAGAAAACAGCCAATCAAGCTGATTTTCAGAACAGAAACAGTGCGAAACAGGATCCTGCAAGAGAAACTATGGTTGAAGGAATCGTTAGCATACGAGAGGGTGTTCCTAGACTGAGAGGGAACAAAAACAGAATGATAGCAGCTGAGGGAGAGGACACAAAACCGAAAGGGGCTAGGAAGTGAGACAAGGATAGAATTGGCAGAAGACAACCAGAGAAGGGCAGAGCAACAAAAGCAAGCACACACAGAACCATCCCCAGAACCCCACAGCCAGACACACTATCCTAACACAGACCGCAACGCACACTCACAGCCCCCACTCCACACCATGCTGTAGAATCCCGCAGCACACTGCCAGGCCCTCTACCCTCACAGACCCCCCAAAACAGTGTTGGAGAAGAAACTGAAGGTATGGTACACCAGTGCTGATGGAATAACGAATAAGTGGGAGGAGTGGCACAAGAAAGTCAGAGGCATCACCAGACATCATAGCCCTCACAGAAACCAGGCTTACAGGGATAACAGATGGCATCTTTCCAGTGGGATATCAGATCCTGAGGAAAGACGGAGGGAACAGAAGGGGTGGAAGAGTGGCACTGCTGATCAAAAACCAATGGGATTTTGATGAGTTGGAGAGAGGAGACGGAGGAGATGCAAGATATTACATAATAGGAATGCTCCAGTCTGGAGGTGTCAAGGTGGTAATTGCAGTGATGTATAACCCACCACAGAGCGGCAGGAGGCCAAGGAAAGAGTATGATGAGGGTAATAGAGCGATAGTTGACACACTGGCTGAAGTGGCCAGAAGGGCTCATGTGAGCATGGCAAAGTTACTACTGATCATGGGTGACTTCAGTCACAAGGAAATCGATTGGGAGAACTTGGAGCCACATGGGAGCCAAGAAACGTGGAGGTGGTACTGGAAAACCTCATGTACCAACACGTAAGGGACACTACGAGAGTGAGAGTGAGAGAGAGTGAGTGAGAGAGAGAGAGAGAGACAGACTGAGACTGGACCTAGTATTCACCTTGAGTAGTGCAGATATTGAGGACATCACATATGAAAGATCCCTTGGGGCCAGTGATCATGTGGTTCTGAGCTTCGAATACATAGTTACAGGCAGGGGGGGAAGCTGGAAGGGCTGGGCTACAAGAAAGGGGACTATGCAGGCATGAAGAACTTCCTGAACGGGGTTCAGTGGGACAGAGAACTGGCAGGGAAATCATGAAACAAGATGATGGAATATGTGACGACAATATGCAAGGAAGCCAAGGAGAGGTTTGTACCCGAGGGTAACAGGAATAACGAAAAAGCCAAGATGAGCTCGTGGTTCACCCAAAGATGCAGGGAGGCCAAAACCAAGTGTGCTAGGGAATGGAAGAAGTATAGAAGGCAAAGGACCTAGGAGAATAAGGAGAGTAGTTGTAGAGCCAGAAATAAATATGCGCATGTAAGAAGGGAGGCCCAAAGACAATATGAAAATGACATAGCAGTGAAAGCCAAATCTGACCCAAAGCTGTTGTACAACCACATCAGGAGGAAAATAACAGTCAAGGACCAAGTAATCAGGCTGAGGAAGGAAGGAGGGAAGGTCACAAAAATTGACTGCGAAGTATGTGAGGAGCTCGACATGAGATTCAAAGAAGTGTTCACAGAGGAGACAGAAGGGCCTCCCGAAAGGTGGAGAGGTAGGGTACACCATCGTGTTAGACACCATACTTACAACCAAGGAAGAAGTGAAGAGGCTGCTAAGCGAGCTAGATACCTCAAATGCACTGGGGCTGGATAACACCTCTCCATGGGTAGTGAGAGCGGGAGCAGAGGCATGTTGTGTACCACTAACAGCTATCTTCAACACATCTATTGAAACAGGGCAACTACTGGAAGTATGAAAGACAGCAAATGTAGTCCCAATTTTTAAACAAGGAGACACACGAAACATTAAACTACAGACCAGTGTCACTGACATGTATAGCATGCAAGGTTATGGAGAAAATTATTGGAATAAGTGGTACAGCACCTAGAAAGGAATGACCTCATCATCGACAGCCAGCATGGTTTCAGGGATGGGAAATCCTGCGTCACGAACCTACTGGAGTTCTGACAGGGTGATGGCAGTAAGACGAGAGAGAGGGATGGGTAGATTGCATTTTTCTTTTTTTCTTTTTTTGGGGACTGTAAGAAGGCATTTGACACAGTTCCACACAAGAGATTAGTGCAAAAGCTGGAGGACCAGACAGGTATAACAGGAAAGGCACTACAATGGACCAGGGAATACCTGTTAGGAAGACATCAGCGA